TATATAGCCCATCTTCTATTACATTATCATCGACAACGAGCGTTAGGTAAATATATTTCACTTATAATAATAATTGCAAAAATGTAGTAAATTTTTAATTTTAATTTTAATAAAATTTTTAATTTTGTTAAAAATAGATATGCTCGCCATTTCAGATATCGAAGCCAAACCGATGACGAAAAAACGAGGAGGAACCCGAAACAGGACCTTAGCGAAGATTCCCTGTCCAGCCCAACGAAGTTATCACGATATCGGGTAAATATTACTTTTTGGCGGAACGCGAAAATTTTATACATACATACATACGAGGTGTGATCAAAAAGTAACGAGAATTTTCAAAATGCGTGCGCTGTATCTTGTCTATCGAATTGATTCTTTTTTTGTGTGTTAGTAGCACTGCCAGTGACGTACGTGTCAATTTTCAGGCAGCTACGACGCTTAGTTTGTGTTTGGCAAGCGAATGAGCAAGACGTACTTCAGTGTGTTTGGCGATTTTTTGTGTGGTGAAATGTCGGATCAGAGTTTGTTTGAAATTTTGTGTTAAAAACGGAATTAAGTGCAGCGAAACGTTCAAAATGTTAAAGAAGGCGTTTGGCGACGATACTATGTCACAACCACGAGTTTGTTATGAATGGTACAAACGCTTTCAGAAAGGCCGAGAAGACATCGAAGATGATGCGAGGTCATGAAAACGTGGAGAAAGTTAAAGAGATTGTGCTTGCTAATATATTAGCTAATATTAGCTAATATATTAGCAAGCACAATCTCTAACTTTTTCCACGTTTTCATGACTGGTGAACGTGCTAGGACGCCCAGACCTCGCATCATTTTCGATGTCTTCTCAGCCTTCCTGAAAGCGTTTATATCATTCATAAACTTGTGGTTGTGACATAGTATCGTCGCCAAAGGCCTTCTTTAACATTTTGAACGTTTCGCTGCACTTAATTCCGTTTTTAACACTCTAAATTTCAAACAAACTCTGATCCGACATTTCGCCACACAAAAAATCGCCGAACACACTGAAGTACGTCTTGCTCATTCGCTCGCCAAACACAAACTAAGCGTCGTAGCTGCCTGAAAATTGACACGTACGTCACTGACAGTGCTACTAACACACAAAAAAAGAATCAACTCGATAGACAAGATACAGCGCACGCGATTTGAAAATTCTCGTTACTTTTTGATCACACCTCGTACATATACTGGGTGTAACTGAACAAACGCATATGGACAATACTATCAGATAGAGAACAACAATCCAAATCGAAAAGTCCTGAACCATTTTTTGATCTGAACTTTCTTTTCGTTGTTATATGATGTTAAAGTTAACTAATCAGCGCCTGTCTACAACGGAAAACAGAGAAGGTACGACGGGGGTCGGAGTAGCGAGACGGCTTTCTGCTGTATAGACAGGCGCTGATTAGCTAACTTTAACATCACATAACAACAAAAAGAAAGCTCAGATCAAAAAATGATTTAGGACTTTTCGATTTGAATTGTTGTTCTGTATCTGATAGTGTTGTCCATATGCGTTTGTTTAGTTACACCCTGTATATATACATATACATATTGTTCGAAATCAAATTAAAGGCGATGGAAGAGGAAGGCGCCTTGTACGAGATCGAGTTTAAGGCGATAGGAGATATAGCGCGGCCGATTGATAATTTCTAAGAATTCGGGATGAGAGAGATGACCGCTCTCGATACAGTCGCTCTTGCTCTAGCTTATTGCGAGCCGCCAGCCTTTCGCCACTCCAAGCCTATCACTGCGCTTTAAACTGACATCAGTGGCGCCCAATCAGGGGCTGCCACCCACCGTCAATCAAAAAACTACCGCGAATTTTTCCAATCATAATTGTCGCTCCCTCAAGACAAAAGAAAATGAGTCATACGTTCTGAATCTTTCTAGAAGGATTCAAGATTATAAAAGAGGCGCGCACAAGGCGCGGCCGGCTCTCGACAAAAAGTAATCGTTGTGCGGTCTTATCGTTCGATAGTGTGGTCCACTCGTTCAAGATTATCCCTCCGTTGCTTGCGGAAATATTAGATATCATTTATCACTAATCTGTAAAAGATGTACAAAGTTATTTTATTAAATTACGTATTGTCAAGTCGCTCGTCTTTCCTACCGTTCCACGTCCTCCTTACTCATCGAGATTACATATCGCGGTACTCTTCACTCTCACGTCCACTTCTCTCGCTATCACATATACATATATACAGGGTGTGTCAAAAGTCTGGATACACTCAAATATCTCGTAAACGTTGTATTTGAAAAAAATTGCATTAATTTAGAATTTAAAAAAACATTTCTAAACATCACATTACATAACAGAAATACTATAAATATTTGCATGCAACAACGAAAAAATATTTAATATAGAACTCGAGTGACTAGAGATTTTCTCCTTTGCCCGAAAATCTTTGTCCAAAACCGGAGAATTCCCAATATCGGACTCTTTATTATAAAATTGTTAAACAATCATACATTGAAAAAAATATACTCGTGTAAAAAATATATTTTAAACCTTTTCTCTTTTTATTAAAATCTGAAGATAAAAGATGTAGGGCTGAAAGACAGAATGTTTTAAGAACGAAATTGCAATTTACATTTAGAAATCATCGTGTATTTTTGCTTTTAATAATAACATCTCTCAATAATATTATACATATAATGCGCAATAATTTATGTATATATGTATGTATGTATGTGCGTATGTACGTATGTACGTATGTATGTATGTATGTGTACATATGTATTATTTATATATTTATACATAGTATATAAATGTATATTACTTATAAATAATATATTATATATTACTTGTGTAATGTAAAGAAAAGATATATATATTTATTTATGTATAATATATATCATAGATATTAAGAGCGTATTCTACTCACTACAAAGATTAAAAAAAGCCATATAGACATGGATCCGGAAACGCTTTCTTTCCAAGTTATAAACCTTTTTTATTTATAACAGACTTTAAGAACATTTGAAACTATAAGAACATTTCATTATAGAAATTGCTAGAAATGATTTCCTTCCGCATGCATGTCTCGCATCGACGTCGCATGGATTGTCAAAGACGTTCAAAAATTCCCGGAATATTTCGTATTTTGCTACGTACGGAGCAATAATACGATTTCGGAGTACTTCCGCAATAACAACAGGAGTATCATAAATGAGAGTCTTAAGATGTCCCCATAAATAAAACTTTTTATTTACTTCTAATAGAAAGTGAATAGAACAATTCATGAAATATCGATGCGAGGCATGTTGTCCGATGTAAATAAAAAATGCTTATAACTTGGGAAGGAAACGTTTCCGAACCTATGTTTACATAACTTCTTTTCATCCTTATAGTGAGTAGAATATGCTTTTAAAGTTTGGCCACCTATTTCTGAAACATCCTGTATATATATATACAGGGTGGGGCATGTATATTGAGACACCTAAATATCTAAAAAATAAAGCAAGATAAAAAGAAATGTTTCAGACAAAAGTTGTTCGGGTCTAAGGGGGACACATGACGAAAATATGGACTTGACCTTGAATGACCTTTTCAAGGCCAAGTCAATATGATCGATGTTTTCTTAAATGGAACCCCCCTTTTTTATTACATAT